TGAGGTATTCGGCCAATCACAACACACTGTAGATCTGGCCAATCAGAGCACACCTCGCTTTTTCAGACGGATGAGCTTTGTAAAAATCGACACGTTTCAGAAAGGCGGGGCATAGAGGAGAAACAATAATGTACATTATATGGAAAATAATGTGTTTTTTGAACCTTAAACCGTATAAACACATTGCATTACACCAAATACACAAAATAATGTTCTTTTTAGCAGCATCATATCACCCCTTTCAATCAAATGTAATATCTCCAGAACAGATGTGTTCCCCTCTGGGGAAATGAAAATGAAATAAAAAAGTAGTAGAGTGTAGGCCCTCAGAGAGATTTTTAAATGGAAAGCCATCATTTCTTTATGAGGAATCAGTCCCCTCCACACCAGCACTGAACAAAAGAGCCGCCGTGTGCCGAGGAGAGATGCTGCACTGAAGTCTTTAGAGCTCTGAAGCTCACGCTGAACCTGTCTGCACTTTGATGTGGAGATGAGGTTTTCGGGATTGTTATTTTGCAGATATCAGCTGCACTAGAAATTCACTTTTGATCTGAGACAGGCCCACTCTAGCAGACTGTGACAGTAACAGAAGGTTAGCTCTGCATTTTACAAACCTGTTGATGAGTTTGATGAGGGGTAAATGTGAACAGAACTGTTTGGGTGTGTTGTAGTGACACGTGTTTTAAGAACAGACAGAGGAACAGATACTCTGCTTGGGCTGAAGTGTTTGATTGTGCAGCAGGGTAAAGTGTTCATTCAGGTATAAGGATTAGGTAAAGGTTTTTATTTAAACGTGTTCAAGCATGGTATATTTTTTCTTAACGGATTCATTTTATCTTAACAGATTTATTTAATCTATTGGAGCACACACAAACAAAATGAATTTGTAGGTGTATGATGATTATTTTCCATATACTTAAAGTGAATAATAATAAAAGTGGTTTCATATGACTTTCATATGACTTCATATTCCAAGTTCTCTGAATCCAAATGAAAGCTTTGTGTAACACTGAAATTTCAGCCATAAAAAGAGTCAAACAAAAGATCAGTGTTCACTGTTTAACAAACAAGTAGTCTTTTTTTTAAATTGGGTATTTCCAAAGAAATATTTGTTCAGTTGTTTATGAATCAGACTAATCTGTTTTTTGAATATTGTCTCAATGTTCACTGGTTAACAGCTCAATGAGTGGATGATTTTCAAATGAGTCCTATTTAAAATTTCCATTTTGCAAAACTTTAGAAGTTGCATTCACTATTTTTTATCATACTTTTATGACACGTTTGTCATGACACAACCCCAGTCCTCAGTCAACTTATTATGCTGAAAAAAAAGAGTAGTCAGGATACCTTTCTGGTTCCACAGAAGTCATACAGGTATGGAAAGACATGAGACATGAGTAAATGACGAGCATTTTCATTTTTTAGTGAAAAATCCCATTAACCATTTTTCAACCACACGTATGCAATTATGTGTAAAATAACTTTGCTTTTTCTCTTTTTCTGTCATTTATGTATTGGACCATTTCAGTTATTTTAAGCGTTTTGAATTCTGTGGATATTCTCCCAACGTGCGGAGCTGCAAACCAAACACAGACGGAATCTCATCCTTCGAGAATCTGCTGGCAAACATCATTCTGCGCGTGTTTGTCTGGGTCGTCGCCTTCATCATTTGCTTCGGAAACATCTTCGTCATCTGTCTGCGTTCCTGTTTTGCTTCTGAGAATCAACATCACACAATGGCCATCAAATCCCTTTGCTGTGAGTCCATTATGCATCAAACATGAGCGTGACGCAACCAATATGCAGCTCCTACTCAACCCCAGTGAAGCTCAAATGATCAATCAGTCAAAATTCATTTCATGCATTAAAAAGTGAGACAAAAACCTGCAAACTCAAAGTAGTTGTCTCACTACATCAGATAAGAGTGACATTTCTACACCTCCACAATACTTATTACACCTAAAGTCAAAATAAAACAGCATTCACAGTCTATTTAGCATTACAATTTCAATAACTGTTTTGTATATTTATATATTTTTTAATTTAATTTATACCTAAAGCTGCCATTACTCCAGTCTTCAGTGTCAATGATGCTTCAGAAATAATTCTAATATACTGATTTGCTGTTTAAGAAACAAACATTTATTTACATGATTAAATAATTTTATTAATGTTGAAAACAGTTTTTTGATAAATAGAAAACTCAAAAGAAAGCTCATTATTTAAATTAAAATTGTAACAATATAAAAGTCTTTATTGTCCCTTAATAAATTTAATGCATCCTTTCTGTGTAATGGTGGCGGCCCACAAAATAATAAAAAAAACAGAATTACATGAATTAATTAATTTGGGCAGGAGACAGGATTAAGCCTGACGAACAGAAATAAAGTAAATACTCTCAATAGCTCGAAGGAAAAACCTTCAGTTACAAAAATAATGATAATGATAATAATAACAGTTGTTTTTTCCCCACAACAGTTCTTTGATTGAATAGAAAGGTTTTCTTCTAATTAAGAGTCACAACAAGAGAGTTCAGTTTCAATATTATATTCACAAAAATAGTCGGGAAGAAAAGTTAACAAAAGTGGCTAAAGAATTAATTTCTTTAAAAAAAGATTTAAAAAAAAACATCTTATAGAATATATATGTTTTTAGCATAACACTGATGAATAATCAGGTCAGATATGTGTATTACTATTAGAGGTACATATTTGATTTCGTGTTGACATATATAATCATCTACTTATGGAAAGTGAATCAAAGTTTGTAATGAAAAAGTCGTTTGTTTGTTTTTTGAAATGGCAGCGTGTCAATGCAGGGTCTAATTTTGGAAGTTCACCGGCGTCAGACAAACAGGCTTAAAGGGTCGTAGTTCCCTCTAATTGCAGCATTTACACACACACACACACGTGCCATTATACACACTCAGCTAATTATACACATCAACACATTGCTCTGAAACTCACTAAATTATACATCTATGCAGTATCACAAGCTTTTAATAAACATCAAAACACACACTCTTTCCCGCCCGCTGGGCAGATAAATAATTACAACAGTTGGTATCTTTAGACACACACACACACACAGAGAGAGAGAGAGAGAGAGAGCTTGCTGACTTATGTACGACCTCGCTGACACATGACGCACACTGCAACAACACGACTCATACCTGGACACACACACACACACTTTCATTCAACAACAGAAATGGAAAGTGTTATTAGAAAAGGTCGGATCAGCTCGCGATATCTAGAGCTGTTCAGCTGAGGATCAGAGTCTGAGGACTAATCTGTGTCTCAGTGATGGAGAGAGATAGCAGACGGCAGGCTGAAAAGAGATGGATAGATGAACAGATGGCTGGAGAGGTGCAGTTTTTTAACCCACATAGAGTTGAAAGGACACGTCTCTCTGTTAAATTATCAAAACCTGCCGCCCCCTCAGATGAGAGACATGCAGAGAGAGGTAAGAGTTTGCGATGTGGCTCTCCAGCTCTGGAGTTTCACACTGGCTGACACTGGCTACAATATGTTTAGTAGTGGTGGTGGAAGTTGGAGGGGGAGGGTTTAGCTGTCTCTGTAGGCCTTACTCATTCAGCTAGGACTAGAATAACACAGTATCATTGCTTACTTGCAAAAACCCATTCACAGTGTGTGAAACGTCTCACCTTGGAGGCTCTGATTTTGATGAATGAAAACCGAAGTGGGGAGAGACATCTGTGAGGGAAAGAAAATTATTTGGAGGCAGTGCAGTGAATGAAAGTGTGTGGGTGATTTGGTGCTTGTTAATTATTAGCTGAATCAACTGCTCAGCAGGTTTCTGGGACACACAAATAGAGAGAACTGCAAAAAAAAAAAAAGAGAGACACAAACTGGCCTGACCATGCACACACCGCCAGAAGTAAAATAACACAAAGAAATAGAACATGACTGACTGACTGATTATGAATAAACAGATGGATCGACATTATTTTAGTATTATTTATTTACTATTATAATATTTAGTAATATTTTGAATTAGCGTAAATTTATTTAACTTTTCATTTCAATTTTAGTTTACATTTTAGTGATTTTTATGTGCTTTTGTAATTATTTTTTTTTATATATATATTTTATAATATATCAGCTTTATTTAAATGATCAAAAAAAAAATTATTTTGTTTTAGTTAACAATAACAACATCTAAATGTATGTGCTGAATGTAGGGCCCTATGAAATCTGTTTTATTTTTTTCAAAATTCTGTTTTTCCGTTTTTATTTTTCTGGATTCTATTTTTTATTTCTGTTTAAATTTTTCTGGACTCTGTTTTAATGGTTACATTACATTTTATTAATCAAAAAAACATGTCTAATTAATTAAAATCATGAAGCTTACACGATTTAACAGCAATTTATTAAAAGTTTAACAAAAATTTTATTTTAGGGCCCTACAAAATAAGTTTTATTTTTTCTTAAATTCAGTTAGATTATTTAATTAATTACCAAATTCTGTGTTAGTTATTTTAATTAAAAAAAAATTAATTTTATTATTAAATTTTATGAAGTTTATTCCTTAAAAAACAATGTTTTATTTTTGGTAGTAGTAGTACTATCACTACATTAAGTAATGTAGGCTATTTCTGTCACAGTTTCTTCAAGTTAAACCAAACCTTTTTTTTTTTTTTTGACGGATTGCCATGAGGAACTTTACGTTTCTGTTAGTATATGATATGATGATAGTTTTTCTCAGAAGAAACTGTAAAATTCTCATGAAGTGACTCTTGCGGCTTAATATTCACAGAAACTAGTCCATATCGCGTTTTAATTTAAGTGTACTGACTTTTGATTTATTCATTCAAAATTTGGTAGATTATGCCTTATACAGTAAATTCTAATTTTATGACAGGATTCCGTGATTCAGTCCGCGTTTTCCTAGTTTTCATAGGGCCCTACAAATGTATGCATGGACAGGTTAATGGATAGGTGGTTAGACAAGATTGTATGGCAGATGGGCTAATGGATAGAGGATGAATGGATGGGAATTGATATATAGATTGATGAACAGGTGTTAAATCATATATTAAGATGTATTTGTTTATCTCTAATAGGTGCCGACTGTCTCATGGGTGTGTATCTGCTTTTCATCGGTGCCTTTGACATCAAGTATTGCGGCGAGTACAACCGTCATGCTCAGATATGGATGGAGAGTCTGTCTTGCCAGTTGATCGGCTCTCTGGCCATGTTGTCCACAGAGGTATCCGTCATGATGTTGACCTACATGACACTAGAGAAGTACCTGTGCATCGTCTTCCCATTCCAGCATTACCGTGCTGGACGAAAACAGACCCTGTGCTCACTGACCTTCATCTGGTTGCTAGGATTTATCATTGCCGTTATTCCCTTCTGGGATAAACAGACATTTGGGAATTTTTATGGGCGGAACGGAGTATGCTTCCCTCTTCACTCAGACCAGACAGAGAAACCTGGTGCCAGATGCTATTCTACAGCTATTTTTCTCGGTGAGGGCAGATGGCATCGAATTGTGTACATTTTGTACGGTGTATGTTTGAGACCTGGATAAGCCAGTGTGTGTATTTCTGTCATTCTCTGGAGGTGACTCAGCTTTGAATTGGGCTTTTCCAGTTATCTAATAATTTTACTGCATTTCCCCAGAGATTCAACCATGCTCTTTTTTCAACCATGCTCTTTTTTAATAAAGTAAACTCAGAAAAAGATCCTCCCTGGTAGCAACTTCACTAAAAAACGGAACTAAAAAAAAGGTCTACAATCACTATTTTTCTAGTTTTCCAACAATATCTAAACATCCTTAAGACATGATAAATCTCTTTGGAAAAACTGTATAAAATATTAGGATTTGTCTTTAGAGAATACATAAATTAAGTTGAATTAGCCTAAGTATTTTTAATTTCCCCATCGTCGTTTATTTATTTTTAAATGGAGTAAGAAAACTTAATTCAAAATGTGTCTAAACACCTAATAAAACACAAGTCTATCTTCTTTTTTTAAACTGGAAATCAAGACAAAAAGACTGTCATGAACTAGCCCAAAGACAAAAGAAAAAAAAAAATGTGGCTAATGTAAAAAATACTAAATTGGTGATAGCTTATTTGGTTCAACACAACTTGATGTTACTAAAGATTTATGTGTGTGTTTCTCTGTCAGGTCTGAATCTGCTGGCTTTCGTGGTGATTGTATTCTCCTACTCCAGTATGTTTTACTCTGTCCAGAAGACAGCGAAGACAGCGCGTCAAACAGTATTTGATCGAGAAGTCACTATCGCAAAGCGGTTTTTCTTCATTGTGTTCACTGATGCCATGTGCTGGATCCCCATCTTCCTCTTGAAGATACTATCACTACTAAGAGTACATATCGCTGGTAAGCAAACACGTGTGATCACATATTACAAGCAGAAGCTAATATGTGTGAAAGAACACGGGCGACAGGATATTATTTATCAGTGTGTCACTTAACTCATAATTGCCGTGACCGCAGTTTGGCTGCTCATTAGCTAATGATATGAATGAGGCAGCTCATTAATATTATACCATGGTGAAATGAGACCTGTGTACTGCAAAGCCTAGCCTGCTTTCCAGTTAATAAAACTGCAATTCCCCTGGTTTTCTCTTGTGGATGTTTGATGGATAAAGAAGGATTTTTTTTATAGAGCTTTACATTCTCTGATCTGGCCTCTCCACTAAATATTGATTTTATTTTTTTGCTTTGTGAACCTCAACACATTGCACAAGCACATTTACCCAATTACTATAAATAAAAATCAATTGCATCACATGGACTGACATCTAAACACATATACATCCACAAAAATTAAATATGAAACATTAATATGGAATATTAGAGTAGGTACACTGAATTTTTAGGGGTGAATATAAGGCACAAAGATGTCCCTTTAAGTGACAAGCTGTTGTACCCCTAGGTACATTTATTTATTTATTTTAAATCAATAAAATTTGCACAATTTGAAATGTTTTGTTTTTAACTAGTATGCTATCTTTTCTAGGGGGGTTACAGCTCTTAATATCCACATTACGTTTGATGAATGGGTATTGATTGTTAAACAGTTGACTTTATCAAGACCCAATGAGCCAATTTCATTGTTTTCCTTTATCCTAGAATTTTAAGCCTGAATCCAGATATAACTGTTTTGCTTCTTGTAAAAATCTGTAGACAATTGCCATTTACGAAACATGTGTTTTTTTTTTTTTGACGGATTGCCATGAGGAACTTTACGTTTCTGTTAGTATATGATATGATGATAGTTTTTCTCAGAAGAAACTGTAAAATTCTCATGAAGTGACTCTTGCGGCTTAATATTCACAGAAACTAGTCCATATCGCGTTTTAATTTAAGTGTACTGACTTTTGATTTATTCATTCAAAATTTGGTAGATTATGCCTTATACAGTAAATTCTAATTTTATGACAGGATTCCATGATTCAGTCCGCGTTTTCCTAGTTTTCATAGGGCCCTACAAATGTATGCATGGACAGGTTAATGGATAGGTGGTTAGACAAGATTGTATGGCAGATGGGCTAATGGATAGAGGATGAATGGATGGGAATTGATATATAGATTGATGAACAGGTGTTAAATCATATATTAAGATGTATTTGTTTATCTCTAATAGGTGCCGACTGTCTCATGGGTGTGTATCTGCTTTTCATCGGTGCCTTTGACATCAAGTATTGCGGCGAGTACAACCGTCATGCTCAGATATGGATGGAGAGTCTGTCTTGCCAGTTGATCGGCTCTCTGGCCATGTTGTCCACAGAGGTATCCGTCATGATGTTGACCTACATGACACTAGAGAAGTACCTGTGCATCGTCTTCCCATTCCAGCATTACCGTGCTGGACGAAAACAGACCCTGTGCTCACTGACCTTCATCTGGTTGCTAGGATTTATCATTGCCGTTATTCCCTTCTGGGATAAACAGACATTTGGGAATTTTTATGGGCGGAACGGAGTATGCTTCCCTCTTCACTCAGACCAGACAGAGAAACCTGGTGCCAGATGCTATTCTACAGCTATTTTTCTCGGTGAGGGCAGATGGCATCGAATTGTGTACATTTTGTACGGTGTATGTTTGAGACCTGGATAAGCCAGTGTGTGTATTTCTGTCATTCTCTGGAGGTGACTCAGCTTTGAATTGGGCTTTTCCAGTTATCTAATAATTTTACTGCATTTCCCCAGAGATTCAACCATGCTCTTTTTTCAACCATGCTCTTTTTTAATAAAGTAAACTCAGAAAAAGATCCTCCCTGGTAGCAACTTCACTAAAAAACGGAACTAAAAAAAAGGTCTACAATCACTATTTTTCTAGTTTTCCAACAATATCTAAACATCCTTAAGACATGATAAATCTCTTTGGAAAAACTGTATAAAATATTAGGATTTGTCTTTAGAGAATACATAAATTAAGTTGAATTAGCCTAAGTATTTTTAATTTCCCCATCGTCGTTTATTTATTTTTAAATGGAGTAAGAAAACTTAATTCAAAATGTGTCTAAACACCTAATAAAACACAAGTCTATCTTCTTTTTTTAAACTGGAAATCAAGACAAAAAGACTGTCATGAACTAGCCCAAAGACAAAAGAAAAAAAAATATGTGGCTAATGTAAAAAATACTAAATTGGTGATAGCTTATTTGGTTCAACACTTAACTTGATGTTACTAAAGATTTATGTGTGTGTTTCTCTGTCAGGTCTGAATCTGCTGGCTTTCGTGGTGATTGTATTCTCCTACTCCAGTATGTTTTACTCTGTCCAGAAGACAGCGAAGACAGCGCGTCAAACAGTATTTGATCGAGAAGTCACTATCGCAAAGCGGTTTTTCTTCATTGTGTTCACTGATGCCATGTGCTGGATCCCCATCTTCCTCTTGAAGATACTATCACTACTAAGAGTACATATCGCTGGTAAGCAAACACGTGTGATCACATATTACAAGCAGAAGCTAATATGTGTGAAAGAACACGGCGACAGGATATTATTTATCAGTGTGTCACTTAACTCATAATTGCCGTGACCGCAGTTTGGCTGCTCATTAGCTAATGATATGAATGAGGCAGCTCATTAATATTATACCATGGTGAAATGAGACCTGTGTACTGCAAAGCCTAGCCTGCTTTCCAGTTAATAAAACTGCAATTCCCCTGGTTTTCTCTTGTGGATGTTTGATGGATAAAGAAGGATTTTTTTTATAGAGCTTTACATTCTCTGATCTGGCCTCTCCACTAAATATTGATTTTATTTTTTTGCTTTGTGAACCTCAACACATTGCACAAGCACATTTACCCAATTACTATAAATAAAAATCAATTGCATCACATGGACTGACATCTAAACACATATACATCCACAAAAATTAAATATGAAACATTAATATGGAATATTAGAGTAGGTACACTGAATTTTTAGGGGTGAATATAAGGCACAAAGATGTCCCTTTAAGTGACAAGCTGTTGTACCCCTAGGTACATTTATTTATTTATTTTAAATCAATAAAATTTGCACAATTTGAAATGTTTTGTTTTTAACTAGTATGCTATCTTTTCTAGGGGGGTTACAGCTCTTAATATCCACATTACGTTTGATTAATGGGTATTGATTGTTAAACAGTTGACTTTATCAAGACCCAATGAGCCAATTTCATTGTTTTCCTTTATCCTAGAATTTTAAGCCTGAATCCAGATATAACTGTTTTGCTTCTTGTAAAAATCTGTAGACAATTGCCATTTACGAAACATGTGAGTTATGCAAGTAGTTGGTCTGAGCCGAGAGGCGCATTTTGATTAGTAGATGGCTGAGGAGCCAAAGCCCTGGGTGACAATTAGACATTCAACCGCCATGAGCACCCATGAACACTTATCAGCTAGAATGGCTTTGCAGTTCTTCCCTTGGACAATACGGTTTAATCTGCACTTTCTTTTCTCTCTCTCTCTCTCTGTCTCCTCCAGGTACCCTCATTCTGTGGGTGGTGATTTTTATCCTTCCCATAAACAGCGCCCTGAACCCCATCCTGTACACTATCACAACCAGCGCCTTTCAGCAGAGACTCAAACAGTGTTTGAAATATCGCTGCCAGCAGACTAACTGACACACACACACGCACACGCACACGTGCTCTGAGATTAATATTCCATGTGGAATAAAAGGTTAATAGATGACAGGATAATGACCACACATACAAGTTGTTCTCATCCTCAGCACAAGCTAATAAGGCTTATTAGAGCCTGTAGGGTTGAAGTAAGGAGAGCACACACGGCAACATTAACCAGCAGATCATCACAAACAATATACGCTTATGCAAGTAAAACCAAGCCTTATATGAAAAACAAAGAAATGACATACATGCAAATCCAAGAGACTTCAACTGCCATATAGACCTAGAGTAGTGCGTGTATATGCAGGGTAAGCCAAACTCTGTGGCTGTCAGAGAATGCAGAGAGGAACAGTTCGGACGGACCCCGGCGGGCTGAGGATTGGAACCCTTCCGACTGATTTAATTGCGTTTTTGTGTGCTTGTGCGGCTGTGTTTGGGAAACAAAGAGGCAGTTGCATACAGTCAGGATAGACAGGAACTATAATGGTGGAGGGGAAGAAATGGATATAAAAAGATTTCACAAAGATCACACTAAAACCAATCCTAGCACTTCATCTGTGAAAAAAAATACAAAGAAATACAGATCATCATGGTGTTCATGTTGGCATCAAATGACAAATTTATTCCAGATTGCTGTTATTAAGATTACATTAAGTTATTGTATGAGTCTATTATTTATGGAACTCACGGCTTTCATTTGTCTGCTGTAATTTGTCAGTTGTCTACAATATGTAAAATTAATGTAACATCCAAATAATTGCAATGAATAAATTATAATTATTTCATTACATTTCATTGCACCAGTTTGGCAGCACTATCTTCTGTTCCTTTGCTCTGACGTATACTGTATATCTTACCACTAAATCAGCTTTTAAGAAAGATTTAGGATAGACTTCATTACCAGAGAGCAGCTTTACTGAATAAAGACGTTCATTGAGCTCCCTGGACTGCACAGTCCTAAACAGCATCCCAGGACCATCATCTGTCTATTGAGCTGGATGAAGGTTTGGGGTTAGACTTCATAAAGCCTGATCCAGATTTCAATGTATTCTGTTTAAAAGCTATTTACAGGACACAAGTCTTAATTTGAAGAACTGATTGTTAGTTTGCATGCATTAGGCAAGGGTTCTTCTTCTGATTCTTCAACACTGTCTTGCAAAGTTTAGCTCCAATTCTTCAGTATTCTTCAGTATTATCTGAAAATTATAAGCAGGTGTGTTTGATCAGGGTTGGATTATTTCACGGACATCATGACTCAAAAACAAACTAGAATATACAGCTCCATCCATCCATTTAATCAAACCACGGGGATGCTGAAGCCCATTCCAGAGTCACGCTGGATGAATGGCCAGTCTATCGCAGGTTACATTCACATTCACATCTGAGTATTTCCAGTATACTTGATATGCATGTCTTTAGATTGTGGGGAAATCTCTTATCTTACCTGATACAAAACGCCTTTAAACAAGAATTTGACTGCGGAAATATGGAAAATCCAGTGACTATTTCATGCTCTTTGCTTCAACCCAGTACTTTATAAGCACATTTTTGTTTCCATGCACTGAAATTACCTAAATGCCAACCTATCATATTTGTCTGCTATATGGATCAGACTATGGGCATGCCATGTGAGGCTGAGACTAGGCTTTGTTTTGATCTCCCAGCTATTATTTTCAATGGGTCCTCAATCAGCAGTGGAGGCTAATTTTAATAATGCATCTGTATAATGACCTTAGACTGATTTTAATGCTTATAATGCTGCATCAGTAACAGCTAATGCTACATTTGATCCAGTTACAAAAAATGTATTCAAGTATATTCTGACATAACAAACAGAATGTTACATGAAATCCTTCCTAACAGGCCTGAAATGTGGCCTCAATGGTTTTTTTCTATCACCTGAGCCAGCCAAGCTATCAGACAATATATTTATCTAATCGATACAACAGATGAGACACAATCAAGACAGAAGAGAGAAAAGGAGAGGGTGCAAGAGAGAGAGAGAGAGAGAGAGAGAGTGAAAACATCGCAGTAAATCAAAAACCAACCTCATCTGTGACCCTATGAATAAAACTTGCAGAATGCATTTATGTGACCTGCCACATCAAGTGCTACAGGGAACTTTTTAAAGGGAGTCAAATCAATCTATATTCTTTCTATGCGTTATGCTGTAATCTGTAGCAGGAGATAACACAGAGGAGGAAGCACAAAAGAACAAGGAAATTAATTACTCTTTAAAAGACCACTGGCCTGTGAATAGCTTTGAGCCAAGCTGCTTGAAAGAACAGGAAACCACGTTGGTTTCTAGGCAGGTGATCAACAGGATGTTACATTACATTATTCCTAATTTAGGACATGCTACATTATCCAAAGCCACTTTGAATTGGGAAACCCTCATTTGGGGTATCCTGGGTTTAGTGGGTAAGTGCCTTGCTTAAACAGACATTGGTCCTCATGAATTTATCTTCTCAAGTATATACCTTGTTTAACAGATTTTTTTTTTTTAGATATTTTTACTGGAAAACAAAATAAAAAACAAAACATTTAGGTTATTTATAAAATTATCCTGGTTAAAGCAGAGCTGCTGGAAAAATGAGTTGGGGGGGGGGACATTTATCGCATTAGATGATCTCTCATGAATAGTCATTAGTGGTACTTTATGTAGGAATGGTTATTTTATCGCTAAAAGCTAGGTAAATTCCAGTAGCACACAATTTTTGGTTATTTTAGCATTGTCCTTCAACACATTGGATTTGAAACAATATTAGGAGTTTAAAATGCAGACTTTCAGCTTTAGTACGAGGGCATTATTTGTTCATCAAACTCAAAACAATCTGCAACCAAACCTAAATATGATTATTTTATTTAGATGAACAAGAACTTGTGCAATGAATGTTGGGTCTCTAAAAAATGACAGTCTGTCAAATGGCTATAATTACTACATGGTGCACTTGATACATCTGGAAATACTCAGAAACTTAAGAAAAATTAAGCTCTTACTTTTCTAATCTTTACCTCAACAGGCTCGACTAAACTCAAAACCCGTTTCTCTGGGGCCCGTGACATGGCCGGGTTTCAGTGGTGGAATGTAAATTACATTCACTCATACTGTACTCATTTGAGGTACTTGTAATTGAGTATTTTGAAGTTTGAATGTTTTTGATACCATTGTATGGTTCAGATTTTCATTCTGTGCTTCTTGTATGAGCGTCTGGGGATGTTTTGAGCATCCAGTGGTCATCCAGTAAAGTTTATCAAGCACTCATGGCCAGGTGTCCTTTTCTGGCTACTGTTGTGTTGAAATAATTCAATGACTATTTTTGAACACATTTATGCCTTTCTTGGCCTGCTTACTTCTTTCTTTCTCTACTGGAGGTCAAATGTGTTTCTCTGAAGACTGCCCATTCAAGGACTAACTCGTCTACCCTTTCCCTGAACTATTGACCAAACTTTATTTCTCGGGTTAAACTGAGCAGTTGTTTGCACTCATTGATATTCACTTGTGCATGCTTATGTAAATGTTTTAACACAAGATAACATTAGAATGTGAACAGTTATGACCACAGAAGCAAGAGAAATCTATTAATACATAGCCTACATAGTGTAAGTGCATTCTACATCATTACCTCCAAAACCAACACAGAAAAACTGATTAGCTAAAGCCGTCTCTCATAATTCCCCAAAACGCTACTATAAATGTAGTCAACATAATCAATGCACGTTGTACATTCACATTAACAGAAAATTGTTGCAAATATGTAGCTGCTGCTGTTATGCCGCGTTCCAGGCAACCCGTAACCCGTGTTTTTCCAACCTTCTACCCGTGAAAGTGCACTGGAACGGCAGTCAAACCCGTGACTTCCCACCCGTGAACTCGTACTAGATCGATGTACTCCCAGTTCCACACTCTGACGTCACATAGCCCGCGAAACAACAATGGCAGCCCCTTTCTGTCAAGACTGCAGCTGTGCACAGAGCCTATACAGGGGGTAGTGCAAATGACATACTTGTATAACAAAATAATCTGTTTATTCTAGAAGATGCCCCTCCCACGATAGTTTGATTGACAGTAGCGTTTCAACACAGACTGGACTGGCGTCTTACCTTATGCCGCGTTCCAGGCAACCCGTAACCCGTGTTTTTCCAACCTTCTACCCGTGAAAGTGCACTGGAACGGCAGTCAAACCCGTGACTTCCCACCCGTGAACTCGTACTAGATCGATGTACTCCCAGTTCCGCGCTCTGACGTCACATAGCCCGCGAAACAACAATGGCAGCCCCTTTCTGTCAAGACTGCAGCTGTGCACAGAGCCTATATAGGGGGTAGTGCAAATGACATACTTGTATAACAAAATAATGTTTATTCTAGAAGTTTGTTTACATCTAGCTACCACAATTCCTTGCGCTCAGGCAGTTTGGCATGACTTGCCTGGAACGCTACAAAGTCGTGAGTCGTGGTTTGAAGTCATGACTTACGGGCTCAAAAACCTGCCTGGAACGCAGCATTAGTCCCACTTAAACCCATTCAAGGAGGCTGAAATCGCAGATTTGTTGAACAAATTCTAAGTGCATTCTACACGTGAATGCCTGTACTACCTGTGTTGGTTTTGGAGGTAATGACGTATAATGCGCTTACAGTATGTATGTATATATTAATTCAACATTTACATAAGCACGTGCAAGTGAATATCAATGAGCACAAACAACGTTTGTTTAGTTTGGTTAGTCTGGTTAGAGGTGGTAGTTATAAGTGATGTCAGCCTTTTTACAACTTCCAATGAGTGTAGACACGCTCTACTCTTTCTAAAACCTTGCCGCTTTGGCGTAACTTGCTATCATTTATCAAGCGGGTTGAAACTCCTAACTCCATCTAGCAATGAAACATTCTTCTTTTTGTTGGAACTGTCGCTTTTCATCTCTTTATTTGTCATCCTATTATTTTAGGACTTTTAACTGTGCATGGCGTTCTTGACAGTTCAAATCGCGAATCATAGAAAAATGCTCTAAGTTCACCAAGCTTCCGATGGCCCACATGGGCTACATGCTGCAAATGTGCCAAGAGTTAACAGGCAGAGAACGAAACAAAACATTCTGATTGGCTAAACAAAGAATCCAAAAGCAACAGACGGGCGTTTTAATTTTCTATATTTACAGAAACGAGAGGTGTCACAGTTATTTCAGTGCTAACTTTCAGGAAATATAGTTTTAAAATGTAAAAAAAAAATCACTAA